CCCTTCATCAGAAAAGGGTCTAGGCCCGAAACGTCAGCCTTTCTGCTCCTATGATGCTGCTTGGCCTGCTGTGTTCATCCAGCCCTGCACCTTCTTGTCTCGGATTCTCCAACATCTGCAGTTCCTACTATCTTGTATAAAGTTTTTATTTCGTCCTGCATACATTTTCCTACTGCTCATGAGATTGGACCATTGAGTGTCCTTCGATCCTGTATAAACAGGTTGTCCAGGGTTTCTAGATATTGAACTGTATTTTAAAGTAATTTTAAAATGCCAGTAATAAGGAATTGAATTCATGCAGAACCTTGTATACTCAGGGCATTCAAAAGTATTTCACAAGCAACATAAACAATGAATTACTGACAATCATTTCTTTTGTCAAACACAGCAAGGTCCCAAAAAGAGCAAATCACCGAATGACCTGATAATCAGCTTCCTGTGGTTAGCTTAAGAGGAATGTGCCACAAAACTGAGTCAGTAAAAGGATACATTGGAGACACCATAAAAGAAACAAGTAGATTAAACAATTGCAACTCTTTTTGTGTCTACTTGTGTTAATCTCTTATCAGTGGCACCTTGTGTTCTTAGGCTTGAAAATGCTTCTCCCAGGGAGGATTTTTGAGCCTTTGATTGTAGCCTTGATTGTTTAGTTTATGGGAGTGCTTTTAATTGCACTTCTAAAGCATTAAAAGCAATTTAGGTTTGTCTTCTGCTCTATGTGGATATTGGTCATAATGGAGAGTGTGGACTGACTGTAGGCAGCTACAGTTGAGTTGCTGTCTGGCTATTGATCAGTTCTTGTTTTGACAACTATCAAATAACAGATTGTTACAGGAAGTGATATGTGAATGTACTGCTTATCATTTGCCTTTGCTGTTGCTGAGGCTTTTGTTACAAATAATCCTGTACTTTCAAGTTCACCAATTGTGTCTGTCCTAAGTTTCAATGTATCTTATTTCTTTCCCTTTTTGAAGTGAAGTATACTTTCAGAGTGAGAAGTCCTTCTATTCATGACTGATTAAAATATCCTTAGACTTGAGAAAAATGCTTGCAAAAGTTTGCTTGCTAACTCTTCAGCAGGTATTTACATGAAGGTTATGAACGTCTTTCAAAAAAAGTTAAAACATCATTGGACCCAACATGAATATCATTGCAAGTGAAAGTCTTTTTTTTAAATACCAAAGTACTACAAACGAAGATGGAAAGGCTGTAACTTTTTAAAAACGTCTACTAATGGCATACGTACAACTACATGTGGGTGTTACACAAGTGACTCATTTGATATATCTTTCTTTCTCTAACCTCCCTAAAGCATGATTGTGATTAGCATCCAGCAGTGTTGGGAAATTGCCTCAGCAGTTATAAAAATGAGTCACAAGTCTAAATGTAATATTTTTATGTCAACTTATGGGCTGAAAAGGAGCTCAACAATAACCACTTTGTTGGCAGAGGCCTGTGTGCCTGCTGAACTGGTCAATGTTTATCTACAGATGTACATCAAGCCTATGTCAATATTGAAATGAAATTTCTAGCTCAGCCTGGAACCTTAAATTTGTTTGTCTTAGTTGTTCTGCTTTATGTAAGCTACCTTAGAAAATATTGGAAATAGTATTTATGGTATAATGCGGAGCTGAAGTGTTGGCTGTCATTACATATTCAGCCAACTCGTACACATCTTTTGGTCTTGGTGCTGGGTAAAATTAGTATGGCATCAATAGATAGCTCACTGGTGTCTGCTTAGTATTATTGTCTGTGTCGCTGATGAATACAAAAGGACAGATAGCATGACTAACCTGTTGACTATTTGCTTGGTGCTGGCTTTATCATCAAATACTCTTTTTGCCTGAATGACAGTTTTGTAGA